CTTCTTCTGATAGTTCAAGAGTAATTACATTAATGAGGGGTGGTATTTAATTTTCAGGCAGCAGGCAAAATGGCTCAGCAGTTAGTGCGGCTTGTTGCTTGTTAATCTGAGTTCAAATCCCCAGACCCATATGCTAAAAAGAGAACTTACTCCTACAGGATTTTAGTGACCTCAATATGCATTCCCTGACGTGCACATGTACATATGTACATGCATTTGCATGCTCACACATACACAAACAAATGTAAAAAGGCTACTTAAAAAAAAAAAAAAAAGAATTTTAGTATTTTGGGTGCAAAGAAAACAACAGTACTCAGGCTTCCCGAGTCACATAATACCACCACCTAGAACTCCTATCTGGAAAGGATGGAGCTGGGAATGCAGAGCAAAACACAGGAGGACAGAGGTCACTTTTGGTTTTTCTTTCCCCCTATTACTTATTCAATGTTGTAATACACAGGACTTTTCCTGGTTCTTTAACTTTAGAGACTGTTATTTTAGCCATTGAGAACTCCTGCCTTCTATTACAGTGGCCGGCACACTCACTGTAAGACACTGAGGGCAAACACTCTGGAAAACACACACACAGAACTCTGTGAAGGCTCTGTCCTCGGCTCCATGTCTTTCCTAGGCCTGGTGGAAGGCCTTTTCTCTTAGGCCCAGCCAAAGAGAAAATATTTTTAGACAAGGGTGCTTCAGAGCTGTAAAAATAGTCCCAGTGAATGGCACACTTGTTAAGGCCCCAGTACTCCTGCCAAAGAACCGAGGAACTGTGTCAAGCAAAAGCATGCTGGATTTCTGTAAATTCAAGGCCAGTCTGGTCTATATGGTAAGTTCTAGGCCAGCTAGGGCTACATCATGGAACAAGGAAGGAAGGAAGGAAGGAAGGAAAGGAGGGAGGGAGGGAAGGAGGGAGGAAGGAAGAAAGGGAAAAAAAAGTAAAGGACAAGAAAACCTGGGAATAAAAACATGGCCTTCATAAGGAACATTCAAAAGGAACATTCATAGTCCAGAAACTATGCCAGTTCCCTGTGACGTGAAAACTTCTAAGTTTCTACATTTATTTTTCAAGAAAACTTTAACTCATCTTGACAACAGAAGTTAATAAGGCTAACACATACACCAAGCTCTGTTTATTATTCCATTAAACACCAGAAAATTCAGAGGTGAGGACGGTGGGAGGAGGTGGGAACAAATTCAGAGGCTAGGGAGAAGTTTTCCAGTCCATCTGAGCATCTGCCCTCTTACTGAGCATTGCACAAGAACAAAGAATTCCAGTAAATGTTCGCCTGTGGCTGAGAATGGTCCCCCTGCCGATAAAGAGCTCAAAAGAAAAAGAAATATACATTGTTGGTGTGTGGGTGTGTGTCTGTGAGTGTGTGTACATGTGCTATACTGCACATGAAAAGATCAGAGGGTAACTTTTGGGAGCTGGTTCTCCCCTGCCATGAGGCAGGGTCTCTCTTGCAGCCCCGGTACATACTCCAGGCTAGCTGGTCCTTGTCTTCGCCTCCCATCTCACATGTAAGAGTGTTGGGATTACAGTCACGCAGCTTCAGCAAAGAGCTACTAGCCAGCTCATCTTTGGCTTTTTGAAAAGGACACAGGTGCTCAAGCACACACACACACACACACACACACTCAAACCACACGAGTTTGCAGACTTTGGTAAGATGAATTTACTCCTAATCTCTACAAGTTCAAACTTTCCCCCCGCCCCAAAGTGTAAGATACTGAACACATTCACTGTGCCAGAAAGTCTCTCAAACACTATTCCTAGTCGGCCCAGTGGCTGTTCAACAGTCATGTAATGAGGCGTGTGAGCTTTCTGGACTCTTCATCCAAAAATAATGTCTAGGCAACGCTTAGAAGGGATTCTTTTATCAACCTGAGAAACACAGAGCTTGTCGCATCCTCCATCTTTCTTTACAAAGCAAAAAGCAATGTCTCCACCCAAAGCTCACTTAATGCTACAAGCCTCTTTGCTTGAAGAGAAATCAGCAATCGTCAGAACCAAGTCAGAAGTATATAACAAACACATAAAACAAGTCAATGTATTTAAATATTAACCTGCAGCTTAAGTTGTTTTTTTTTTTTTTTTTTAAACAAACAAAAAAATGGCAGGCAATGTAGACACTCTTAGGAGGTACAGATGCACTAATGGCCAATGCTCTGGCCAGATGTAACTAAGCCTGGACCTCATTAGCCTAAAATTTGCCCAACTGTTTGATAAATGCGTTGGGTGCATACGAAATCTATTTACACGTTTTTCCATCTTGTTCAGCACAAACTGGAACATGTCAATTAGTTAAAACTAGGAGCAGAATTAATTGCCACTTGGACTAAACCACTTCATGTAGAGCTCAGAAGAAATGGCAGCTCAACGTGATGCAGGACGACAAACAGGCTGTGAATCTCTGCGCTTTCACGGCTTCCTTCAGGTGGAATGATGAACTAAGGGGCTTGTCCTTCTCCACAATCCCTGGGTAAACCGCACCGTCAGCTGGTAGCTGCGTCAGGGCTAAGCAAGATGGAACACGAAACTGGGATCAATGTTCTCCTCCACCTAAACCCAACACACCTGTCTCTATGTCGAGGATCAGGGACAAAAGTAGACTCAAGGCTTAAAAGGACTATGGGACATCATGGCGGCAATAACAGCAATAATCACAAAGGCAGTTCCCACTTCTTCTTGGGGCTGTATGCTACCTGTGTGCTAATTAATTCACTTACTCCTTTTCTATATTCCTACAGAACCAGGAGTAGGCCTACTCTCGAGAAACTGAGGTGCGGACATGGAGCAACTTCCTAATGTTTTCACTAACATGCAGACCACCCCACCCCCTATGCTCAACACATTAATTAACAATTCATCACTGGTACCAGGGGCAAAAAAAAGATTTACTACCCCATACTAAAAACTGTCCATTATGGATTTTTTTTTTTTTTCCAAAAAGGAGGAGATGGCACAATGGTTGGAGAGATGGCTTGGTACTTAAGAGCATTGTCTAATCTTCCAGAGGACCTGGGTTCAATTCCCAGCACCCACATGGCAGTTCAAACTGTCTGTAACTGTAACTCCAGTTCCAATTTAAAAGGGGGAGTGGGGAGATGGCACTACCTAGAACTGTTTGCTTCAGGGCCAGGTGTAAGAAACGCACCAGCTAAGCCAGGCGTGGTGGCACAAACCTGTAATCCCAGCATTCAGGGAGGCAGGGGCAGGCCCATCTCTGTGAGTTTGACGCTGGCCTAGTCCACAAAGTACACAGAAAAACCAAGGCTACACAGAAAAATCCTGTCTTAAAAAACCAAAAAAAAAAAAAAAAAAGGATCAGCTAAACCACTATATAAACACGGAGGAGACATTATGCAGGAAAGCAAATTTGCCCTTCAGGATCAGAGTTGTCATCTAATGTAACCCAGGGAAATAGCTATTCCTTATTCCTATTTAGACTTTGGGTCTTTGTTACTTCCCCCAACACACACACACAAAGTTCTGCTGGGAGGTAAATAGGTTTTCTCTCCACACATACCCCACCTCCCCAAATTTCCATATGCACTCCCTGGTCCAACTATTCAAGTAGCTTAAATCCTTAAATCTATGACCCCTATCCTTGTCAATCACTTCCTTCCTCCCTTCTCAGGTCAGAGTTCCAGCACCTTACCCACTTTTAAGTCCTTGGTGAGTGAGTTCTCAGGCACTTCAACACTCTTTTTTTTTTTTTGGTCAATGACGGACATAGCATCCACAGAACACTGCAACCTGCTTTTGTACAAAAGCGGTGTGATGCTTTCTGGTTAGTTACTAATCTACAACAGTTTCTGGATCCTTACCTACACTGCTTCTGGAGCCATAAAACCCTATTATCTTGTTACTAAGATGGTGTTTAAACATTTCTCAAGGCTACATTGTTGTATTGGGCCTGCACGGCCAATCTTGTTCTCAAAGTCTTGAGAAGTTTTGGCGGTGCAGAGGAATACAGGTGGAGAGTAGCTGTATTTTCTCCACTTTAGTAATTTTTTTTTTCTTTTTAAAACAGATTTTAGAAGAAAATGCAATCAAAATAACTGACTAACTAACTTGTCCTGCATGCAAGTATGCATTTGCTTGGGAAAAGACAATGACCTGAGGATAGCCTCCCTAATTAAAATTAGGTAAGTGTGCTGCCCTCCACTGCCACACAACTCAAGCAGCCACAAAACTCAAGTTGCAAAGGCCTGAATATAACAGCAAGAACATAAAAACAAAAACAAACAAACAAAAAAAACATAGTTCTCGAATGTGTGTAGGAAGGTAACTATAAACAGAAAGACACTATATGCATTATATATAGCATGCAAAATGCAGAGCTGATCCTGAGCTGTGCCTCAGCTGGCACCAAGCAAAGTCCTACAGAAGCCGATTACAGATTATAGAGACCTCTCACAGTCCTTTAAGTTTATCTCTGCCTTCCACCCTCCTGAGGTTCAGACCTGGGCACTCACCCAGCTAGCTGACCCAGGGCACTAGGTCAAAGGTCAAAGTTGCCTGGCCCAGCCCTGGGCGGAGTCCCAGCAACTCCACAAACTCCCACTAGGTGACTTTCGAAACTGTTACAAAAGTGAAGGCCAAGCAAAGAAGGAGACCTGAGGAAGAGGCAGGACACTTGGAAAGAAAACTGCCCAGATAGCCGGAGAACCCGGGGGGAGGCGGGGAGAGATTAGGAAAACGAAAAGAAATCGCAGCCCAGGTCTTGGCAAGCAGACTTCTGTCAGCTCCCGGCGGTGAGCAAACGCACTCTGCAACTCTGCACGCAGAACTGTGCACAGTCCAGCTCGGGCGTGCAGGCGTGCACCAGTGCTGTGCACGGAGCCTTCCCCGTCTCGGGGAAGCTGGTTCAGAAGCATGCACACAAGGCTCGGGCCGAGGGCTCCAGATGTGGCACAGCGGAGCACGCTGCGCCCTTTTGGACCGCTTCGACACACTTCCAGCACACCCGGGGCGCGCGCGGCCCGCTCACCTGCGCGATGCCCGCGCCCATCAGCCCGCCGCCGATGACTGTCACATGCTTGATCAGGATCTTCTTGGCGGCGGCCGACGCGGAGGAGGACATGGAGCGCACGAATTGCCTGGTGACGAACGCCATGGCGCAATGGAGCAGCCGAGAACTAGCCGACTGGAGAGCGCGAGAGGTCCCAGAGTTTCGTGGGCGGGTCCGGTGACGTTGGAGGCGGGGCCTCGAGTACGCCCCGCCTACCAGCTTGACAAGCTGCAGGTCCACCCGGGAGGGCTGGCCCCCAGGACTCGGGCAAGCATGGACTCTGGCAGAGCAGAGGCTGAGCCAGAGGCCACACGTTGTTGCGGTTGCAACGTGAGAAGTTGTGATCCTGAGCATTGTTTAGTGTGAGAACGGTAACCCCAGATAGAAAGCACAGGAAAGGAAAGCCTGGGCATCCGGCAGCCTTCTCCTGCCAATCACTGCTATCAAAGCAAACTAGTGACGCAGAATTGCTGTTGACTTTACTTCTAAATGTTCTTCTGCACCCCCAAGTTCACCATCCAGAGGAAAGTCATTGCTCCCCCCCCCCCCCGCACGAAGAAATGATAGTTAATTTGGTATGCGCTGTAGCCCTGCCAAAGCCTCATCTGTGTCTCCTATTCTGCAGAATAGAACTAACTTCCTGTCTGTGGAGAGATGGAATGTTGGAGATAGAGTCAAAGTTCTCTCTGGCTGTTTCTAGTTACCCACCTTTGTATCTAATCTAAGTTGGATGAAACTTGAGGAATGTGTTTCTCAGGCCAACCGCTCCCACCAGTTCAAAACTAAAACAGTTTTGAAAGAAAATGAAAGAAAGAAAGGAAGGAAGGAAGGAAGGAAGGAAGGAAGGAAGGAAGGAAGGAAGGAAGGAAGGAAGGAAGGAAGGAAGAGAAAGAACCGAGTCTCTTGCTTCACCACAACCTGCCTGCACAGGACCTTCACTGATGTTCTTGGAAGACGTCTGGATTTAAGACCTTCTTCGTTGTGTAGCTATAAAGGCTTACTTAACCTTTTCTGCAGTGAGGCATGCCCTTCAGAACTGCTTCATGCGTGTTCCCTGTTGAAGGCTCTTGTACCTGACTGCAAAGAATCTCTCCCACACACCCTGTAGAGCAAGAGCTGTGTTTTGCATCGATCTTTTAAATCTTATTTTTATATGTAATAATAAATATAAGCAAAGCCTACTGGGTGCTATATTCCAGCCAAATTAAAAAACTTACAAGAGTAAGTATAGAAGTGTAAGGTTATCCACAGAAAGCTAACGGCTTGAAGAATGAGTAAATTTATGAAAAAAGAAAGAATTGTGAAGCAGCAATATGAGGAAGGATGCAAGACAGAAAGGAAAGGACTCTATGGCCAGAGGCTGTACTGAGAGATCAGACTGGGAGGAAGCTTGATGAAGTGAACTTCGACTTCTAGTTTTCATTTAGAAGTCATACTCAATGAAAGACTAGTTGTAATCCAAGGTTGCTGCTGTGATAATGTAATTTTCTTTCACTTTCTTTCTTTCTTGTCTTCAGTGTATGTCTGCATATATGCAGGCAATATCTGAGAAGGCTAGAAAAGGACATCAGATTCCCCAAATCAGAGTTCCAGGTGAAGAGCTTAAGATAGCCTGAATTTAACTCCATTTTGAAATAAAGATCTTGACTGGGAACTGAATTCAGGTACCAGGAAATATCACAGAATGTACACCTGGCAGAAAACAAAGTTAACTCTCCTAGCAACAGCCTCTAGGAAATATAACAGAATAAATGCTTCATAGAAAATAGAGACAATCTCCTGGCAATAATCAATGGGAATCGGTTGAGAATCGGTGGGAAAATTCTCCCCAATGTTTCAGATATGGTTTAGAAAAATAGCCATTGTGATTATATGCCTTAGCCATTGTGATTATGTGCCTCAGAAAAGGTCACCCCGCCCTGCTAAACTTCACCCAATTCTGTAACACCAAGGCTTGTGCCCCCCTGCTTGCTGCCATGGAAAACCCCGGTTCACAGACTTTCCCTTTAAAAATCCTGTTTACTCAGAGCTCGGGGTCCCACTTCTCTACTGCTGCGCCAGTGAGACTTGGGTCCTGAGTTCGATCGCTCTCGTAATAAAGCTCTCTTGCAATTGCATCAAGTCGTCTCCTGGTGGTCTCTGAGGGTCCCGTGAACCTGGCATAACACAGGCTGTTGTGATTCACCATATCGGTGCCGAGAATCAAACTCAAGTCCTCTGCAATGGCTTAACCACTGAGCCATCTCTCCAGCCCTACAAATGGCATTTGTGCTGTAATGTCACGTCTACCTCATGCATGAGGTACGGTATGTTTTCAGATCTCTCTGCTTTTCCTTGGGAAGTAATGATAAATGTGTCTCAGTCCATTTGTGCTGCTACAACAAAATCCCCAGATTTCTCCTGGGAGCAAGGAAATCTCAAGTCAGGGTACTATCATGTTCTCTATCCGATGAGGACCCACTTTTGGCTCAAGGGTAGCTGCTTGTAACATCAGATGTTTGAAGAAGATGGTGGTGAATCTTGATGGGCAAGTTGAATGAATCTGGAACTAAGAAAAACACCTGTGGAAGAGCCTGCGGAAGCACTCCCAAGAAGGGTTCCTTGAGGGGAGAAGACCTTCTCCGAGCAGCACTCTTGACAGAGTGGGAGTGGGGTGTACCCTAGCTATAAAGGGATCTGAGAGAGAAAAAATGGGCTGCCTGCCTGCCTTCTCCTCCTGCTGGAGAACACCTCTATTCTGCCACAGATGCTGCAGGCATCCTTCCCTGCCATGAGCCCAGGTCTTCCAACATGACTCCAGGACTCCAGCACCAGATAGGGACTGCTGAAACAGCCAGCCTCACGGAGCGAGCAGTTACTAGAGTCTCGGCCTCTCCAGCGCAGACACCGTTGATGGACTCTCAAGCCCCGGTTGTGTAAGCTAATCTAAGAAGTCCCATTACATAACATCTATTACTCTGCCCGCTGTGTACCTCGAGTGCGGTGGTTCTCAACCTGTGGGTCAAGACCCTTTAGGCTGTCTCCAAAAATATTTACACCGCAGTTCACAACAGTGGCAAAATCACAGTTATGAAGTAGCAACAAAAATAATTTTATGGTTGTGGGTCACCACAACATGAGGAACTGTATTAAAGGGTCGAAGCCCTAGGAAGGTTGAGAACTTCTGGTCTAGAGGGAGCCCTCTGCTCTTTCCTCAGACACTAGCCCCACCCAGCCATCTCCCAGGAACCATCTCCCAACACTCCTACATTAGGGTTTCAGTGCGTGAATTTGAGAGGACGCAAACAGAACTGTAGTTTTCCCCAATGACTGTCAAATCCAAGGCCATCTCTCACAAAGGAAAGTGCTGTGTAACGAGGACTGGGAGTACCAGGCCAATCTGGGTGTCAGGATCCTGTCTCAAAGGGACACCCAGCCCAAATAAAACAAAGAAGAGAACTGCTTCAGGCAAATTCTGGCAACCGTGGAGCATGTGACCTGCAACTGCCTACTCTCCCTTCGCTTTGATTTTCATGCCAGGAGAAATAGTCTGAGATAAAAGAAAAAAAAAAAAAAACCTTCCAGCAATTTCACACGACCGTCATCCAACGTCGTCTTGAGAAACGAAAAGATCACCTCGGCCGTCCTTCTCCGTGCCAGCCAGATGACAGTTCCAATAGAGTCCTTCTTTTGCTAGAACTGTCAGCCTTTCCTTGAGAGTGGCCGTGAGTGTTTGAGAGGATGGTAGGAATTTCTGTGGACCCTGACTTGCACCTTCATTCCAATAGTGGTGGGACTGTCCTTCCCCTCTCTCTGCAGGAAGAGTGAGGCACTAGCACTGGCAGACGGGACCCTGGCTGCCTTGCTGAAGGAAGGGCCTGACTCAGAGAAACAGGTAAGTAATGATGGCTTCTATGTTGGTCCCATAGATGATAGAGCGTGCAAAGTTGGTGGGGTAGCGCTTTGTAGCATACAAACAGTACGGCTGCCAGTGCTGCCATCATTCCTACTGACAGCATGGTTAGGAAAATAGCTTCGGCAGTTTTGCCCTTATTTGAGAAAGTGAACTGGCAAGAAAACCATCCAAAGAAGGCTTGGAGGGCTTGTGTGTAGTCTCCCTGCCACCATTGTCCCCTGGAGGGTGTGCGGCCTGGAGAAAGCAGTTGGTTTGGCTTAAAAGCTTGAGACGCTTTCCACTGGACAGCTGAGTGTCCGGTCTGCTGGATTGCAACCTCATGGGGAAGATTAAGAAAGAACGTTGATGACATTATGGCTGACGTAAGCCCTGTCTAGTGAAGGTGAAGTATAACTGTGTGGCTGGCTGGACTGTGTACCAGAACCTTCATTCCAGGACCCTGCCCTCCGTGCTGACTCTTCTCTCGTAGAGTGGACACTGGTCAGAGCCCACTCAGTGGCATCTCCATTTAGAAAACTAAAATTCTGTCATATTTTTCTGTTGCCATGTCAAAACACCACAACCAAGGCAATTTGTGGAGCGGCGATGACCTTCAACTTCGGATCCCCTGGCTCCATCTCCATGAGTGATGGGATTATAGCATGTTGCCCCTGTCCCCAGTGTCCCATTTTACTTTCTGTGGCTGTGATAAATGAAATAACCAAAAGGTAACTCGGGAAGGAAAGGGTTTATTCCATCTTACAGCTTAGCGTCACATGAAGGGAATCCCGTGAGCAAGAACCTGGTGTGCGGAAGCAGAAGCCTTGGTGCTTCTACCGGTGCTGCCTGCTCGCTTTGCTCCTCATGGCTTACTCAGTGTGCACAGCACACAGTGAGCTGGGCCCTTCGTCTTAGTTACTTTTCTATTACTGTGAAGATAGAGGCCATGATAGAGGCAACTTAGAGAAGAAAGCGTTTATTGGGGCTTATAGTTACAGAGGCCGAGTCCATGGCCATCATGGTGGGGAGCATGGTAGCAGGCTGGCAGGTATGGCGCTAGAGCAGCAGCAGAGAACTTATGCGTCTGACCCACAAATGAGAGAGAAAGAGAGAAAAGAGAGTCGGGTTGCTGGGTTCTTTCAAAACCTCAAAGCCCACCCCTCAGTGACACGCCTCCTCCAGCAAGGCCACAGCCTTCCTAATCATCCCTAGACAGTTCCACCAACTGAGGGTCAACATTCAAACACATGAGCCTATGGGTGCTGTTCTCATTCAAACCACCACATCCCCCCACATCA